ATGATAATGATAATGATAATGATAATGATAATGATAATGATAATGATAATGATAATGATAATGATAATGATAATGATAATGATAATGATAATGATAATGATAATGATAATGATAATGATAATGATAATGATAATAATAATAATAACCATCCAAAATAATACGTAGTAATAATAATATTTCAAAAAATATATAAGGAATTGTAAAACCCTATTCCATCCAAATCAATAATATTATAGTATTGGTGGTCTTTATTTAGGAAGGAAACACTGCCTATTTGTGCATTTTATCAATGTTTTAATCTAATTTAATGAATTAACTCTACTATCATCAACTCCTAAATTCTCATCTCCAATGATGTGATCATTCTTGAATTGGTCGTTTCATTTTCGATAGCCAAATCATTTTTCTTCTCTAAATTGGTACTCACTCCGTCCCACTAACAACAATGAGACAAGAGGGAGTGGTACGCAAATTAGTAAAAAGTGGTTTATGTGGTTAATATTGAATTAATAAAGTAAGAACAACGTAAGAATGATTTAGAGTCACATAAATTTTACCAAATAAGGTATGTGGCAATATTAATGGGACGAACCGAAAAGATAAAATGAGACAATCTTAGCGAGACGGAGGGGTTTTTTAGAATTTGACTTCTTTACAAAAAAAACTTTTCTATTAAACCATTTTTACTTAAAACCGCTTTCTCAAAATTTTCCATAATTTTTACGTAAGAATGATTTAGAGTCACATAAATTTTACCAAATAAGATATGTGACAATCTTAATGGGACGAACCGAAAAAGTAAAATGAGACAATCTTAGCGAGACGGAGGGAGTTTTTAAAATTTGACTTCTTTACAAAAAAAAAAACTTTTCTATTAAACCATTTTTACTTAAAACCGCTTTCTCAAGTTTTTCCTTTTTTTTCTTTATCCTGTCTGATTCAATCATTTTTATTACACCTTGAAATTCATTAAATTTATCAATTTAGTTATAAATGAAACTTTTCGTTAGACAAAATCAACAAATTATAACACCAACACTCAATAGATAACAATCAACTTATCAACAATTAAGAGATCGGCCAATCAACTATGAATGAGAACAATTAATAAACTAATCAAGTAATCATATCAGACTAATCTGCTTCCAAATCAAAAAAAATTTATGGACTTTCATGAGCATGCATCGAGTTTAGATTATGTATGTAAAACTTCACCTTAAAATTCAATTAGTAAGTCATAGAAATAAATTTTTGAAAAATACTACAACAAAATCTACCTCTATATAAAAAGAGGTGGAAAAGCAGTCACATTTTCCCGCCCAAAATTTTGTGTAGCAGTCAGTGGGTGGGCTATGTATTTGGGTCGGGTTCTGTTTTTGGGTCAGGTTCACTGGGTCCAAGATATAGATGGAGTGTTTCAGCTGACATATTTGATTAATACGGCTAAAAATCTTTGAGGGCAGAAGCTTTTTGATAATTCATGCCTAAAATTGCCAAGTCACATTAAATGCATTGAGCTTCATCACAATACCACCAGAACATCCATTAATTTCGGTTGACTTCCGTTTCCACTATTGTTCACAATTCAGAATAGTACTTTTGGGTGGTTGAGAGTTAATCCAAAAACAGATAATTCAATTAATGAGATTGGTTCAGCCACTTAAAAACTCCTAGGTAGCATTAAATGCAAAGTTGATCTTCACAATGCTAGCACGAGAAGCAAGAATCTGAGTTTGACTATACATCCAGTTTTAGTTTGAAAGTACACACCACTTTTAAGGTAGTTGAGAGTTACAAACAAAAGAAGAAATTCAATTAATGGAGTGTTAAAGCTATTCGCAGATTGTGTAGATTTCAAATACAGTTGAGCCACCATGTTCTACTATAAATAAGTGCTTCACACAGGAATTCTCACCACAACACACTTCCTAACAAAACGTCTCCATAGCTACTAAATTCACTATGCATCAATGGTTGAGAGCTCCAAGAAAAACTGAATTGTGGTTGTCCATTCGTGATTTGGTGGCATTGATCACACAATAACCACATGGCCTTACAGGTTAGAGTAGTGAGGGTTTACAGATTGCAGCTCATGCTAGAGGAGGGAACACTCTGGAAACAGTGTTGTATGATGAAGAGGTAATTTACTTGAATTTTATTTTGGATATATATTTCTTACTAGATTTATTTTAAGGGAATACTAACTTAAACTAAATTTGTAGGGAAATCGCATTCTTGCTGTTGTTAACAGGATAGCATATGATATTGAAGATGCCGCATGACATCCATCATACCACTAGCCGAAATACTATACTTTGTAGACTTGGCAAAAGTTTAGAATGTATTAACCTTACCTTTTTCAAATGTAATATTGTAAAGTTACTTCTACTGAGTAAAAGTAGGATTTTGTATTGAAAATATACTGAGAAATTAAGTCTAACCTTTTATATATATATATATATATATATATCTTATTACGCCAGATTCGAACCATAATATGAGGTCTAAACACAAACCAGTTTATAATAAGTATGCATGTAGTCATTAGATCGCTATTTTTTGTGAATATTTTCCAAAATATAGTAAGATTTTGTCATTAGCAACTAGATCCATGAACTAAACTAATTGCATGAATCAGATCGGGTACTTAACAAACAAATAATTACCACATATGAACAAATACCGATTAGTTTTTACAGATCTACTGAAAAAGATCGAAAATATACCAATCATTGTTGATAACGGTCGATCTACAACGAGCCTACACAATGAAATGTCTCCAACGCTGAGACTACGTTAAAGACGCTCTATATACCAAAAACCATCACAGACAAACTGGAGATGTGTAATAATTAATAAACATCACACATTGACGGACAAGGACCGTGGTGAGGAGGAGCAAGAGTTTAGAGGGTAGGGGTTGGTGAATGGTTGGTGTGGAATGTTGCGGTGGATTATTGGTGAAGGTCAAAACAGAGAGTGGAGAGGGAGTTAAGGCGGTGGAATAATCTCGAAGGGGACAATTGTATGTACGCTGGGTAATAGGGTGGGTTGGAGATAATGGGGTTTTATAATAGGGCTTAGGCTGCTAGGTTAAAATGGAACGGGTTTGGGCTATGTTCAAGTGGTATTGATTTGGGCTGCATGAAGGGATTTGATAATGACATGGATCCGAAAATTTAATGAACTGGGTCTAAGATTTAATGGATTTTACTCATGTTGATACAAATTCAATGGTGTGTTCAGGTTTAAATGGGCCTTCAAAATATTCTAAAAAATTGTTAGAATTATTACTTCTATTTTAATATCATCCAAATAAATCTTAAAATATTTTAATTGTGTTGAAATCAAAGTAAGTCAGATAATACGACAAGGATTCACTAAGGATGTTTTTACTTGGACTGTAATCTATTGCAGATCAGACTAGAACAGAACAGACCGGACTTGGATAGTTATAAAAATACAAAGAGACCAGACATTACCAGATCAGACCAGACCAGCAAATTACAGTCAATGTGTAAAAACATCCTAATATGAAAATGAAGGGTGTTAGAGGAGATGGTTTTAATAAATTGCACTTCCTTCTCTGCAAAATAATTTGTGATCTCATACATTTTTTTTATTAGTCCAAATGTATATATTTATTTTAGAAATTTTAAAATGCCCGCAATTAACTTGAACAAATTTAATTGTGTAACATCATAAACGTAGGTAATGTGGGTTTGCCATATTAATTTAATGTTCTTTTCCATATTAATTTAATGTCATCAAATGTTTTAGTCGACAAAACAAACGGTACTTCTCACTCTAATAATTGCAATTTTATTAAATAAGAGTCAAGGCCAATCTTTGATCCATGTTGGTCTCTTATTAAAGAAACCAGTGTTTACACATGGTCAATTGTATGTGGCAGTATCTAGAGTGACAAACCTTAAGAGTTTGAAGATATTGATTTGCGGTAAAGATGAGGAAAAGATCGACCGTACTACAAATATTGTTTACAAAGAAGTCTTTCGAAATGTTTAGTCTTCGTAGATCTCATTGTATGCTTCAAATGTTTTTTAAACCCGGAAGGCAAATATGCTTCAAGTATATGCTTCAAATGTTTACAAATAAGTGTTTCAAAATTGTATTATATGCTTCGTTTTTCCCTCCTTATCGTAATATATAAATTGTACCAATTATTAGTGATAAGTATAGTTTCCTTTATAATTATTATTTATTATTCATATATATATATATATATATATATATATATATATATATATATATATCTTGGATGCGTATTAAAAATATCATCTACACATTCACTAATAAATAAATAAAAGGGAAAAGTACAGAAAACGTACTTGAGGTTTGGGCCATTTTGAAATAGGGGCATGTGTTTCATTTTCTAACAAAGTGGGGCATGTGTTTCAATTCCGTTATCATAGCAGGGGCATGGCGTCTAACGCCGTTAAAAAATTAACCCTGATTTTAAAAAGTCTCCGAAAAATTAAAAGAAAAATACTGGGGGTGCGCCTCATCAAGGAAATCAACAAACTATCTTTATTTTTTGTTTCCAACCACCATATCTCCAGAAAGTCCATCAGAAAATTGATTAGCGACTTTGTTTTTAAAAAAATAATCCAAATAGAGCCGAAAACCCCAAAGAGAAAGATAGGTTGTTGATCTCCTTGACGAGGCGCACCTCCCAGTATTTTTCTTTTAATTTTTCGGAGAATTTTTAAAATCGGAGTTAATTTTTCTAACGGTGTTAGACACCATGCCCCTGATAACGGAATTGAAACACATGTCCCACTTTGTTATAAAATGAAACACATGCCCCTATCTGAAAATGGCCCAAACCACATGTACGTTTTCTGTACTTTTCCCTAAATAAAATATCATCTAATAAAGTTAATAAATAAGGTCATATAACTCTTCGATAATATAGCCCGTGCATCGCACGGGTGAAAATCTAGTATGCATAAAACTGCATTGTTTTCAAGCGGTTCAGTGGTTTGGCATTCGGCCCTTAACTCTTTTATTTATTGTGCCAATTTGAATTGATCATAAATATAGATAAAAACATCTACTGAAGAGTTCAATTCTTTATTTCCGCATCGAGTGAGTCTGACTTCAGATTTCGGAACACAAAAGAATGAAAGATGGACCTGGCGGGCAGCGGATACAAAATGTGGCTCTAATTTTTCCTGGTAGGTCACGGGTCTGGAGTTGTTATATATAAATGTCATTTGACATTAAATTCAACACATTACAAACTGATGGAGACCACCCAGCACACACCACAATCGCTAGACAGTGTAAAACTTAGTGAAGTACGTTATAACTCCTCCACTGATGTGGATATAAATGAAAATACAAATAGAAGACACTGGTGGAAGATATGCATAAAATTTGACACATACTCTCAAGTATATTAGCAGCCCAGAAGCGCCTCTTCATCTCTGTCTTTAACCCTGAGTCTCTTGGCTGCTGAAACCATTTAATAGCACTGTTGTTCTTCATCATTTATCCTGTAAACATTGATTCCTTAAGATGTGTCAATTAGGTCACAGCTTTGGTACATCAAGAGATTCAAGAGAAATTGTGATGCATGTTTAGCAAGGTAGTAAGCCTAAGATTTGGGGCCCAAATCCAACTTACAAAACTGCTTCAATAGAAATAAAAATATGCAGGATTACAAGTACAGATATCCCACATCAACACTGAAGAATACATATTGGGATTTAACCAGCACACTGAGTTTAGAAATTACACTACCGTCCTGTTTTCAGTGAAGACGTAATAAAAAAAAGCCCATGGTTTTAGTTCACTACCACACTGCAACTTTTTGTTATAATTTGAAAATTCCAGATTTAAAAGCTAAAACTGAAATATGTAAATGTGAAATAGTGTGCGGAAGATCTTGAAAAAGGAAAGTTAAGCATCAGCAAATACATTGTTTAAGATGTATAAAAGACGGTAGAAATATCAGTTTTTCCTTCCTGAATGTCTATTTTCCCCTTTCAATAGTTAACACACAATAGAGTACGGCAGACTATTATTAATTACACTCAACGAGAGTGTTTTTAAATTCATGCATTGCAGTCTTGAGTAAATTACATGCTGACAATACAGGCTCTTGACCACAGACCTTACTATTTTGGCAAAGAATGTCTTATTCCTCATCACTGTCATAAACAATTGCCATTCGCCGATGAGTTGTTGCCTTCCTTGGAGGAGATTCCTCATCAGACTCAATTCCCTTTCGCTTAAGACTAACTCCAGACTCCCTACCCTTTGGTTTTGTCTCCTGGTAAGTTTAAGGAAAAGAAAAGAAGATGTATTAAAATAAATAAGCACCAACTTTACATAAATGAAATCCATCTCTGGGAAAAAGTACATATATTATATGGTCAAAACTGCAGTTAGAGCTTATCGTCTAAATTTGTGATGTACTAATTACTTAACTCCATATGTGTTCAAACTAGTCACTTTAATCGATAAACTGTATCATCAAAATCAGTAACTCATAGTTACTATAGTCCCTACCTCAACCTCATCTTCTGATTCTTCATATGCCTCTTCCTCTTCTTGTTCATGTTCCTCCTCTTCATACTCGTGTTCAACCTTCTCTTCTTCACCTTCAGTTTCATACTCAGACTCCTCCTTCTCACTTTCAGAGAAATCTATGGGGCGTTTCGAAGGTTTTGCAGCTGAAATTGGTGTTTTTCTAGGAATCTCTCTCTGTAGGAGAAAAGGAAATCAGATACAATAACCAGATGGGTGTCTTTCAATATCATACAAAATAGGAGAAAGGGGTCTTATTTTTACCCACTTTCTTAGCATTCATGATTCGCCTCTCTGCTTGAGCCTCCATTTCAAGGTCTTCATCAAAGCGATGACGAGCAGCAGGCCTTCGAGGCTCGTAATAATCTGTCTCCTCTTCCTAATCAACAGTATAAAATAATGTGCTTGCTTTTACTGTGGGTCCTTAACATGAGATATAATTACCTGCCTCCAACTAAATGAGGGCTACAGCTTTGGAAATACCTCAGATGAAACTTTTAGTTTTTTGTGCGAAGAACAATTTCAAAAAATGAAATATTCAAGGAAAAAACAATGTACCTCCTCAGGGCCATCCTCCAGGAAGCCTGGTGACAACTGCCGCTCTCTACGAACAGTAGGCATGTATTTACGGCTAACCTTTTCCTTCTTCCGATTAAGGCTCACGCTTGCTCTGATCATTTGACTTTCAGCCTTAACCATTGAAAACAACTGCAATCAGTAACCAATCAATAAAAGCTGCACCCAAAAACACATCTTTCCTTACCCTTTCCTTTTGTTCCTTCTCTCTTTCAGGGTCAATGTCAGTGACACAGTTCTTGACCTTATAAACCTTCTTATGTCGAGAATCAACAAGAGCAGTCAACAATCTATGAGAATTAGATGACAAAGATGATGGCATAAACTTCATCTTACTTAAAATCCTCCCCTGTGATTGGAGTATTCCCTGCATTAGGAGCATAAAATAAATTATGTGATTGAGATAATAGTTCATTATTTTCCATCATTTGCAATGGAGCCAAAGGTTCACAATGGAGCAAGGTAGTCAAACTCGAGATCCTACGTAGGATCGGTAGGAGTCCTGAGGATCGTAAATCGTAGGATCGTAACTCGGATCGTAAGATCCTACTTTATATATATGTATGTATATTATATGTTATAATATATGGATTAATAAAAAATATATGTATCATTACTCATTAGATAATGAATAGAACTCATAACTAATAAGAATCACAGTAACATATAAATTGCCAACGTAATAATAAGGTGGGAAATACTTTAAACCAAAGTAATAAACTAATAAAAATGCAAAATATTTTAAACTAATGTTATGAGGTAATACTTTTTTTATTCTAAATTGAAAATTCCTACGGAGATATTATTAATTACTCCGTATAAAAGAACGAACTCCAAACCTTATAAAGGAACGATTGTAATACTACAACTCCAAAGTCCAAACCTTATAAACAAAAACTGAAAAATATAAATAAAAATTACCTGGAGGTCGACGCAGTAGCTAACAACAGATGAAGAATTGAAGGTATGGACTAGACGCAGAAGCAGCAGAAGATATGGAGAGATGAAAAAATATTAAATTTGAAAAAAAAAAAGATTGCAGGCACAGGAGATTCACGCAGGACTGTTTCTGTAAATTTCAAAGCGGCTTCGTTCAACTATCCGCATGTTTCCCACAAGTTTCGACGCCTTGGGATTCTTTTTCCAGACATTTCTTAAAAGTCGGACGACTTTCAAATTTATGACAAATAATAAAATACAATCGCGACTCAGCTGCGATTCTACGATTCTGCGATTAAACACGCCGATCCCAGCGATTTTACAATTTTCCGATCTTCAGTAGAAACGGGATCGCAAAGGCTACTGGGGATCGTATAATCGTACGATCCTACGAGTAAACTCGCGATTTTGACTACCTTGCAATGGAGCCAAAGGTGCACTATTTTTTGGCTTGGGAATATGATGGAATAAAGCAAAATGGCTCACTAAACTATCTGCGCTTCTTTGTTATGAAAGAGCAGTCATTTCATGCAATTTTCGACACGATTTTCACCATGTGTCATTTGGAAACAGTCTCTATGTACTTTAGTACAGGGGTATGGCTGCATACATCTGACCCCCTCTTACCTCACCGTGGGTGGGAGCCTTTACGGCATTGGGGTGATGATGATGATGATGAAACAATAGTTCATTATCATCAGGAAATAGTGAATTAAAATTGGATTACAATGCTGAAGTCAATTTGCAGCAGCATATTAGTTAGCAATGGAGCCAAAGACTCACTATTTTTTGGCTTGGGAATATGATGGAATAAAGCAAAATGGCTCACTAAACTGTGTGTGCTTCTTTGTCATGAAGTAACAGTCAGTCTATGCAATTTTCGACGCGATTTTCACTATGGGTCATTCGGAAACAGTCTCTCTATGCTTTAGTACAGGGTAAGATTGCGTACATCCGACCCCCCTTACCCCACTGTAAGTGGGAGCCTTTGCGGCACTGGGATAATGATGATGATGATGATATTAGTTACCAAAGGGATTAATCTGATGCACAAAAGTACAAAACTAATAGGATAGAGATGAACGAAGCTATTTCCTTTTTTGTCTGGCAAAATAAACAATTTTCAATTAAAAAAAATAAACACACAGATGCTTGTCAACAAGCAACTGACCGGGGAGTCGCTTTGTAGCAATTTAAAATTATATCTAGGGCTGGCGGGAAGCAGTTAGTAACTTACACCAACCACCAATAAAGACATTAAAAAAAATGAAGGATAAAATTGAAATCTTAGCTGAAGTAAGCACACAAGAGATACCTTTCCATGCCTAAGAAACAGGTGTGCTTGATCATGTTGTGCGTCTTGAATAGTTGTGTCAAGAACCTCATTTCCAATCATCAGCTGAATAGTGCCATCTGACCAATGCACAAAGCGTGCATTGCTTTCTATCTGGATAAAGACAAGTCCTCCAATAAGTAACAAAATATACAATTATCATAAGTTTCAATGTATTATAGCTGATTCTACCCAACAGTTTCCAAATGAGAACAGTTTGTAGTACAAAGAAAGAAACAATGATTCAAAGAGACTATAAGAGGAGACTAATTTGAGGTGCAAACATTTAACCTGAAATTAAGAACTAGATTAAAGTAATCCAGTAAATGGTAACAATGATGTTAATAAAATGAGCTTAAAGAGGTATTCACAAGGCAACTTACAGATGTTCTCCCATCAGGATTTTTGACTTCCCTCCACCGAACAATGTTATTCACCAAGCTAATACGCTTATTAGATCCAGATTCATCTTTAACAAAAACATCTTCTTCCACATATGTCTTTGAATCGAAAGGCTTGGGGTCAATTCCCATTATATTTGAAACTTTAATTAAGTGCATCTGCAAAAGAAGGATGGTAAATTCAATAAAATGTTTAGAATAATATTCCAACATAGCAACTATAGGCTGTGTGATTCACTGTAAGAATTATCGAGAAATACAGCAGTGGTGCAAAACTAGAAATGTTGTCATTGAAAAAAAGGATCGGCTATGATAAAAAAAAAAAAAGGCAGCCTGGTGCATGAAGGCATTCCTGTAAGACTAAGCACCGAGAAAGGGTCCCATCACAAGGGTGCATAAGGGGCAAGCCTTCCCCAGTGCACGAAGGCTTGGCCATGATATCAAATGATAATATGCAAAAAGCGTTGATCTAATGTATAAAGTTGTTATCCCAGATAGAAGGGATGGTTTTCAAAGATGCCTGAAATTGGGAGTAGTTTATAGGAGAGGGGAAAAATATAACCTTGAACCATATGACAGAAAACATATATAACTTTTTAAAAACAATTAAACACAAAAAATATTAAGTGAGAACAAATATACCCTTCAACTACATTTCAGAGAACAATAGAACATATATACCTCTAAACTATTTAGACACAAGGACATATGTGTTCCAACTTTACAATTTTGTGTTTGATTGTTCCAAAAGAAAGTTGAGGGTTCTAGTTGTTCTCTTTGACATATAATTCAAGGGCATATATGTTCCCTCACCCATATTTTATATCTCCAAATAGAGAAGGAAATAAAAAGACAAGGCTAACCATTTCTGGAAGAGCCGGGGGATGCTGCAGTGGAATTTCGAGCTCTAATGGTGGACCCATGGGTTTTTCCTTATGTTTCTTATCAACATGATCTTCTTCAGATCCATATTGACCATATTCATCAGGCACCATATCCTCTGGTCCCAACTCCTTTTCATAAATACCTTCCTCTTCAATAGGGGATCTCTGCTGAAAAGATAAAATGACATCACCACCGTATAATTACAGTGTCAAAATGAAATCTCACATAACAGTAATTATTGAGAAATTTTCACACATGTGGCTCTTCACCCATTTCATTCTGAACACCAAACCTGGTTGGCCTTTCATCATCAGAGTCCCCAATAGTTGGCTCTTCATCTTCACCCATTTCATTCTGAACATCATACCTACCCGGCCCTTCATCATCAGAGTTCCCAATGGTTGGCATATCATCTTCAGAATCCCCAAACACATCACGAATCTCTGGGGCCGAGTTTGAAACTTGCACCTCATCTTTCTCCTCCAAGGGGGATCTACTGTGAGGTGGACATCCAACTTGATCAAATTCATAAATGGCAGTATAAACTCCAACAGCATATTAACTTTATTTTTTTTCTCATCTCTTTCTCACAGGGAGCAAGGATGGAGGTGTAAAGGAAAGAAAAGGAGGGGACAATAGAGAGGAAGTGAAATGAGAGGAATGCATTTGGATTGGATACATTGGATAAAGGAGATGAAAGAGAAAATCATATAGGACTATGATGTTTCTTTGGATTACAGAGAAAATGGAGACAACTGCCCCCACCCAATCCTCTCAATCAAAACTTACCCTAAAACATCAAGCCTTAATCACAAATCCAAGAGAATAGCATTACTTGTGTGTGTGTGTGTGTGTGTATATATATATAGAGAGAGAGAGAGAGAGAGAGAGAGAGGAGAATGTTCTCCTAAGGTAGGTCTAAAACTAATAATTTTAGGCCTCTTTCATTTGAGGTGCTTTCAGGTCGAATTTTTTGATGAAATTTTGTGAGCATGTTCTCAATGAAAGGTAGAATATGTCTACCAGATTCCAGTTTAAAATTCAAACGAGAAGTCAGATAAATATATTATTCAAAATTGTGCAGTTATATATATATATATATATATATATATATATATATATATATATGCAGTTTTTTCAATAATTTATTTAAATAAGGGAAAACTGTCAAATAGGCCCCCCTACTAATACAGAAAAGTCAATTAAGCCCATGAACTCAAAAAACACTCAATTAAGCCCACGAACTATAAAAAACGAGGCAAAACAGTCCTTTTAGCAGGTAATTAAGCAGTTAAAAAGAGATAAGGAAAAAAGGAAAGAAAGAGAAAAAGAGAAAAAGAAAATGTAAAAGCATGCCACATCATTTGTCACACATGCAACTTAACTGGGAACGGTTAATATCCTGCTAAAAGGACTGTTTTGCCTCGTTATATTTAGTTCGTGGGCCTAATTGGATGTTTTTTGAGTTCGGGGGCTTAATTGACTTTTTCGTATTAGTAGGGGGGCTATTTGACACTTTTCCCTTAAAATAACTTCTCGCTTGAATTTTAATCTCAAATTTGGTGGAGATAATCTACATTTCAAAGAGGACAACAAAATTTCATAAAAATATTCGACCCGGAAGCCCCTCAAATGAAAGAGGCCTAAAACTTGTAAGTTGTAGGCCCTACTTTAGGAGAACACTCCCCTATATATATGTATACATACATACATGCGCGCGCGCACACACACATATATATATGCAATAACCTGATAAGTAGATAAATCCTTTTGTAATAGCAATTGGAACAATAATGACAAAGACTGCAAAAATACTACCACACTGAGCTAAATTATGTACCAACGCAAGAGAAATGCATTACCTTTCACTTCTTGCTTGGTTTACTTCATCACCAACATCAGCATAGCGGTTCTCTGACCTGTCTGATCCATTGTCCATGACATCATGCCTCCTACTAGTCGCAACCCTTTGACTGTACTCCTCATCATCATCAGCCTCACTGTCTCGCCCATGACTTTCTTCTCTTTGATCAACGCTCTGGTTGCTCTCAGACTCACTTTCTCCATGCTCATTCCCATCCTGCATATCACCACTTTCCCTCTCCACTGCAACTTCACCTTCCCCTTCCCCCTCCCCCTCTAGATCATGTATCCCTTCACCGTCTTCCTCCTGCGAGGATTAGAGCCAGGCCAATGAATTGAACATCAGCACTCAGTTAGAAAGAATTTCACATAAATCAAGAAAAAAACAGTAGGCTGAAAGAAGGATAGGATAATGATGCATTAAATGAAATCAAAAGTAGGTTCCCCAGTTATTAAATAATACAAAGAACAACCCGTTCCAGTATACTCCAAATGCCAAAAACTGAAAATATACTAGTTTCAGACTCACATTATACTGCATTTGTGCTATGATATTAGATGATGTTAGTTTGGAGAAACTAAATCCCACCAAAGTTCACTTTTATTACATGTCTGAGTTTCTGAAGAAGACTTGCTACCTTTGACAATTTGGAAATTTGAACACTGGAAGTGTTTGTAATATAGCTGGAATCAATGGCGCATCTAGTTTTTCATCTTCCTTTCTCCAGTACAAGTTGGAGGCACGTAAATATTGGTTGGGGATGAGACTAGGGATGTCTACTTTGGCTAGCTCGATTGAGTGAATTAATAAGAAACAACATGGTGCTCAGTACATAACATGGCCCGTAAGCTCACTTGCTCAGTTTACACAATTATTTTGGGGTGGATACTACTATGGCCCAAGGCATTGTTACAAAAATCAAACTTTTGATCTCTGCAATTTTGTATAGCATGTATCCTGATTGTACGATTACTTTTCTATGGTCTTTTTTATTGAAGTTTTTGCTGGCAAGGCTGACGTTGCTTTTGTATCACGATGGTATGCCCCTATGATTTTGTAATGAACACTTTTGCTGTATACTGTATACTACTTCAGGTTAATAAAAAAGAAAATTATCTTTTCAGGGACCAAATTGAATGGACAGACATGCCCTAACCTAAACACAACCCCGAGTTTTAAAAATATTAACTTGAACTCAAAGACAGACTCATGAGCAAATTATGCCAGTAAGCATCAACACGAATTCATACACGGCCTCACGTTTAGGGGATAGTAAGGGAAGGGGGTAGAAAAAAGGGGAAAGCAGGGTAACTATATTGCAATGGTTTTCATTATTAAGTTTCAAACAGTAAATGACAAATCATATGGAGAGGAAAATTCGAACCAAAGCGTATCCCTGGGGACTCTTCTCCGAGCCTTGCACCAGTTCGGCCTCCTCTTCATCTTCTTCTTCAGATTGATCTCCAAAGAGATTCTGCATCATCAGATGCCGCTTCTTTTCCCCCGCCATCGCCCCCAAGTATCACCCACCCTCCCTCTAGAGAGTCCTGAGGTGCAGAGTTCTATTGTTATTTTTGTGCACAAGCCCTTCAAGAATTACCCAAGTACAAGTATATGTTCTTATAAACTCAAAAGGAAAAGATAATCGAGCTTAACTTATTCGAGTTAGGTGCTTTTAATTGATTCCGATGCTGCTACGAAACATGAGCAAACGAGGTAAGGTAAAATAAGTTCTTATTGTCCGTCCGTCTTAAGGTCAAATTTCAGCTAAAACTTCAATCGAGAAGGCATTCAAATGAATTCTTGAAGATAATTGCGCTTTTAACTGTGTAGTTATCTTCAAGAATTCATTTGAATGTCTTCCCGGTTGAATTCTTAGCTGAAATTTGGTATGAGTAAACTAGACTTAATGAATAAGATGCTCAAAAAAATTCGTCAAAAAATTCCACCGGGAACCGTATAAGAACGTATTTGACATTTGACATTTTTTATGTAACTTCGAATACCAATCCGACCCTTACCTCCGCAATAGAAACTTCAGGGGCCAGCTCGGCAGCTCCTTTGTGTGATTCCTATATTGTCTCTCTTTTTTATTTGTACTTGGTTTCGGTCCGGCTTCATCTTTGGTTGAGAGTTATATTCGCTATAAGTAAATGTGAGATTTGTTCTTCTTCTAGCAATGTCAAGAGATTGTTTGTTTCTCGTCAGTGTAACTGATCGAGAAGTGAAATTTCATTGTTAAGTGTTTGCAAGGCTGATTCAATCTAGTTATTTTGATGTCTCACTTTGAGATAAAGATAGCACTCAATTGGATCCCCTTTTCGGTGTTTGATCAAATTGATGATTCAACCAACTTCTACTCAGTTGAATTTCCTTTATTGGTTGTTGGTCAAACCAAATCTTCCTTTTTTCAGGTGGCTGGTCAAATAAATTTTCCCTTTTTCCGATGGCTGGTCAAAAAAATCTCTATTTTATTTGGAGTAGCAAGAAGAGCAACATGGCTACATTATTCTGATTATTGCCGGATTAGCAATATAAAAGGATTTGTGGGAATTTTTTCGTTCTATATTTCATCCCATTGTAACCTTAGATTATACAATTATTTGTTCCTTTGCTATCATTTAACGAATAAATTAGTTAATTGTTCAAAAAAACTTTGGTCTGACCTAGTCTATTTAAGTCTAGTCTGAATTGGTCTGACCAGATAGATAGATGTTTGGTTTATGTGTTAACTGCCAAAATCTAATTTGGTTTGAACTGGTTTATTTAAACCTTTTATAGCCTGATTTTAATCTGATATGGAACAGAAACCAATCCAAATAAGAATATCCTTACTATTGTAACTTTAAAACTCCTAGAGCCCGTTTGGTAAAATTGAAATCGACTGAATTGGCTGATTCTGCTGAAATTTATGAAGTTCTGACTTAAGTGGCTGTATTGGCTGATTCTGCTGATTCATGAAACAATTATATTTAAAATATATTTTATTAACTAAATAAAGAAAAAATTATATGTAAAAATAGCTAAAATGGTCATCTACAGTAATTTCAACTGAAACAACCAGAAAAGTAACTCCAACCTTACTTTTTCTTATTATTACACATTTCAGCATGCATAATCAAAAATTACGTGTTTGGTGAAAAAGTTGGCTTTTAAGTCTGATAAGCCAAATAACAGTGCTACCAAACGGGCTCCTAGTTGTATGTGTGACTATACATAGTCAATTTTATCTCGAGATTATATTACTAATTAATAATATATTTTTTTTTGAAGACGGAAGCTTAGATTGATATCACAACATTCAGATAGGGGTTTGTCCGGAGACGTCTCTCCGCCATATCTAGTTCTCTAGAGCCGCCGTCTAGGCGGCCTGGGGTTTGTCTGGAGACGGCTCTCCGTCGTATCTCCGAGTCTTTATTTGTTAGATGTCTCTTTGGATTGTTTGAAAGATGTTGTCTATTGTCGAATGAGTTGTCCGGGTTCCTCGTTTCTCCGATCGCAGGTTTCGATCACAAAGAAGGTCTAGCTCGTTGAGTACGGTGATGAGACGAACAGCGGCTGTTTCGAGGCGGCTAGATCGAAGGAGCCCTGAGATGCGGCAAGGGCTGACAGAAGGTTCAAGCAACAAATTTGCATAGAAAGCTTCAGGGACACGTCTGATGGTGAGGTTGTGGCGAGTGAGCGACGGGCGCGACCCCCTCCTGAGCCGCCGCCATGGAGTGCAAGCAAATCTAGGGTTTTGAAGAAGATTTATTTTATTGGTTTAGTGCAAGAAGATTTATTTTATTGTTATGTCTGTCTTGCTATTTGCTTTTTATTTATCGTTCCTGTTTGTAAGACGTTGATTTTGGATGTGGGAGATGAGAGGAATTTGGTAACCGAGTTAGGCTTATTGTTTCCCGGTTATGGATCAACGAATTATATTGCTACGACGATTAATTCCGAGTCTGGTTCGAGGGATGACGGTTATCAGTTTACGTTTTGTCAGTTGACCCATATTCTGAACTTTGATTGTTTATTTGTATAAGCCGATTTCCATAAAAAAAACATTCAGATAGGGGTTAAAATAACAAAAGGTCCACATGTAACCATCCACCCTTGAATCAGACTTGGAGTTAATCACCTTTGAGTATTTGACAAAGCAATATAACTAGTTGATCTTAACTTGAGCATAATTGAGCCAAAGACGGTTACCGCAGAACTCTCATCACCCAATCCTAATGCAAAAGTCTTACAACACCAAATAAAATAAAAACAAAGAACAACATTCTTAACGTGGAAATTAAAACGCAAAACAACAATAAAATCAAAACCAAAGTCTGATATCTTCAGCAGAAGCACCACTCGCATACTCGCGCGGATCTAGAAGCCCGGACCCGCCGCCTTCCCATTTTTTGTTTTATCCAAAGACATGTTCTCGCCTACTGGTTCCTCTTGTGGTTGCTCTTCCCAAATTCTTCTACGCTTCTGGTCCACTGGCACCTCCTCAGTACTGTCTAGTCCTCCTTCGTTGGTAACACTATTATTAATTTGTGCCTGCTTTGGACCCTCATCCTCCTTGTCCCCCAGTACCTTCACCCTCTTGAACTGATCTCCTCTGTTGTCTGTCCACCCCTGAACTTGAAGATTTTTCCACTAACCACTTATTGCCCCCGTTGGGCTAACCTTCACCCCGTCACCCGCTCGAAGCTTTACCCCAAAAGATTTTTCCAAAACTATATCCTCCTCATATTTTAAGGGGCAGAATTTATCAGAATGCAAAATCATCCCACAAATAAAACAAAAATTAGGGAGTTTTTCATATTTGAAATCCACCCAATGTCCAATACCACCTCTCTTAAGGGTAGAACCCTTCTTCGTAGGCTTTACCACGTCTATTCTCACCCTAATCCTCAAATATGACTCCCATTTCTCACTAAAATGGCTTTCATCAAAACTAATAAACTCACCAATATAGTTTTCAACCCTGCTAGCGGTTCCTATATTCATAAACCTATAAGGTACATTTGTGCACTTGTACCCATAACTCAGCTCCACACAATTTCATTTTGTGGGGAATATCATCTGGCCTAACTTCCTTAAGAAGCAATAAATTCCTCTCAGACAATCAAGAACCATCTTCAAGAACACGATTCATATCCACAATATGATAAAAATAAACAGATACCTTTTGTCGTCTATCTCTTTGATGGACACACCTTTACCAGGACGCTAAATCAAAGCCAAAAATTCCTTTAAAGCTTGAAGCTTGATTTTCCGGTCTGCGAGAACGACTCCCACCACCGGAAACTCGGCCCTCTTCTTGGCGGTATTGATTTCTCCAACTCCCTCGTCATCAAAGTTCAGCTCACTGCCCTCCTCCCCGATAACCATCTTCTTGTATTGTTTCACTAACTCGCCCATCAATCTTCACCAACCCTATCTCGGATCCCCTGCACCTTCAGCCGAAGGCGAACACGACTCCAATCGTAATTCCTCAGTCTCACCTTCTGCCTATAGCCCTTCGCCCGGAGAATAACTTTTCGCGAGCTTCGGTCTTCCCTCTGGGACGACCATTCTTTGTCCTCGACGAAAACGGAAGAAAAATAATCTACTTTAGCGACAACCATAGAGAGAGAGAAAATAGAAAAGAGCATGGAAAAGTACATAATATGACAAATAAGATAAAAACTAGAAAAAGTAATAATAATTGGGTATTTTCAGATCGTCATTTTTTTTACTGAAACACCATTTTCCAACCCCCCCAATGTTTTGATCCTATCTAGAGCAATTTCTTTATATTTTAACCAACTAGTCAATAGTCAATACACCCATGCAACGGATGCAATTAATCTATTTTTTAAAAAAAAATTTATGCCATGAGCAATGCGTGTATATATATACTTATCGAATAAAAAGAAAAACATAATATTGAATTATGCGAAGTATTAGAGTACACGTGTGATAATTGCGTCTCATAATAGGTGTGATAATTGTTAGAAATACAATAATTTCGAACTCTTGATGTGGTGGGTATGAGTATCGTATCAAACCATCCAAGCCAAAGAGGAGCCGGTTAGAAATACAATAATTAATATAAAGTTATCAAATAAACACTATTTCATCCCTGAATTTACTTGTGTAAAGAAGATGGTAACAATTAGTACCACATTACAATCTAATACGAAGTACAGAGTATTATTCAATGATAATTGTGATGCTTACTCTATACACTATTTTTTACTATCTATCGGGTACTTGATATATCTAATTTTTGTGGAAACCCATTTTTCCTTTTTATGAATACTAAAACGTGTAAACATGTGAAGTTTATTGTGTTTTTAAAGTTTCTAAATACGTTCCATACATAAACTAAAATATTTATATTCTATAACATCTCCATTCAACTACCTCACCATATGAGCTATATAGACTATAAATCTAAAGATAAATATAAGTATAAACCATGGAGTTAAAATTTATCCAGATAAGAAAGAATGTGTGTGTATTGATAACACTATTTTTCATAAGCGGGCCTAGTCATGTTATCATTTATGAAGACGTGAACTTGTATATTTTTGTTTTCATTTATCCATGTATGTG